TCTGAGATGCAGTTCCAGAGAGTGAGGCAAAATGGTTAGGTAGTGTAGATAGGGTGAGAGACACGAAGCAGCTCAGTGTTTGCTGACCAAGGTGAGCAGCCAGGTTGGTGTGGTGGAAAGACGTATGGAGAATTTCAATGAACAGGATATTTTCTATCAAATTTACAATTTCCACACATACTGCTTGATGATATTCACAAGCAAAATTCAAGTTCGGTGCATGTGCTATATAACCTGAAACCAATAGAAAAGTGCAGCCACATTTTTTCTGCGAAATCTGCTATAAATAACCACCAGCTACAAACCCGCTATGAATTAAGTTTCTGGCCCGCGGGCCGCTCGCTGATTACCTGATGTCATTGTGTGCCGAGCTGCTTCGGACACGTATGTGCGGTGCAAGCGGCAAATGGGCTTCACTCGAAGGCCCCACATGTGTGATTGTCCGAGTTAGAAGGTAGTGGGTCCAAGCCCCACAGTGGGACTTTGAGCTCATTGTTGACCCTCCCAACAATCCCCCAGATAAAATCGGTCATTTACTCCATGGCCCTTTTCTGGGATATTGCTGAGCACAAATTGACTGTCTCATTCACCTGCAAAATACAATTTGCGAAGTGCGTTGAGACGCTTTTACGATGTAATGAATCGCGTATCAGATTATCAGATTCAAGGATCCTTATTATTGAGTTCTGTTTTGTGATACAGTTTGAAATATGGAATGCCGGCATCTCTCGCCCTCTGCATACTTTGGTTGCAAAATCATAGAAATTTATACACAATCTGTGTCCCCTGACTGCCTTATCAGTAGAGTAAATTTAAAGGTAATATATTAGCATGGATTGGAGAGTGGTTAACAGGAAGAAAACAGAGAGTAGGGATAAACAGGTCCTTCTCAGACTGGGAGGATGTGATTAATGGAGTGCCACAAGGATCAGTGCTTGGGCCTCAATTATTTACAGTCTATAACAATGATTTAGATGAGGAAATAGAACTTAACATATCTAAATTCGCGGACAATACGAAGATAGGTGGGAGAATAAGCTGTGAGGATGACACACAAAGAATGCAAAGGGAGATAGACAGGTGAGATGAGTGGGCAAGAAGGTGGCAGAGGAAACATTTCTTCACTCAGAGGATAATTAATTTGTGGAATTCTCTACCCCAGAAGGCTGTAATTGCAATCTAAGGAGTGTTGAGTCCCTCATCTCCAATCTCTGAAGCTTTGGAACTCTCTCCCCCAATCCCTCCAATTTGCCCCCTCCCTTCCCCTTTTTTTAGATCACAACTGAAGACCTTCCTCTTCGACTGTGCTTACTGTCACCTCCTCCCCCCCTCCTCTCACTTGGCATTAGGCTTCGTCACTGTTAAACCCTCCGAGATGCTGCCCCGCTTGAAGGGGGCTATATAACTGCAAGTTGTTTTTGATGATTTTTGGAGTTATAATTCCATGGAATTTGAATGTTGCCAATTCTGCGTCTGTTTTATAATATTTGATTTAAACTTAAATTGTGCCTAATTTTGCTTTGACTGCAATTTAGCATTTCCCTTCACTTTTGTCACCTGACTGGCATTGCAGGCTGGTACATTTAAGAAATATTTTACAACCTAGATCTAGCCCAGCAGATCAAGCAAGCAAGTAAGTAAGTGCTCCACGCAAAGCAGCAATGCTGAACATCTGAGGCCCAGGCCATTGTCAACTTGTTTCCTCCAGTTTGCTGAGTTCCTATGTTTTCAGGGCAGATCTCCCTGACGGAAGAATATGAAGTAACAGTGCATCAATACTATATTAGTATGAGACTAGGCAATGAATTGGTAAGTTACCAAAGAGGAAACTTGACTTGTCCGTAAGGGCTTTTTAAGTAAAGAACATAAGAATTTGCTAGGCGAAAGAATTTGCTAGTTCGCCTTCCACCATCCTGGCAGTTGCTTGACGTATTGTGTCCCAAACTATACGCTGTATCCCGAGATATTATTTTCTAGCAGACATCTATCTAATTTGTTCTTGAAACGCATCACATTTTCTGCTTCCACTGTCTCCCTTGGGAGCCTTTTCACTAAGTTTACCACTCTTCTCACTGAAGTACTGTTCCTGCAAATTTGTTCTGAATTTATCCTCCCTGCTTCAGGGGTGGGCTGTGTCCTCTGGCTCTACTGTTCAGTACAAGATAAAACAGCTTGTCATGGTCCACATTATCTATACCCTTCAGAATTTTAAAGACCGTAATCATATCGCCCCTCAACCTTCTATTCTCCAGTGTGAACATTCCCAGTTTATCAAATCGCTTCTCGTAGTCAAGTCTCTCCATCCCCTCCTGAGGAGGTGGCCGACTGCCCCATTGTCCAAGTATAAAACCTACACTCCGCTATTCTGAAGTGCTATTTCAGTCTTGATATTTTACTTTTTGATGATTCACAGCAAAAGATGTTAATCTACACTGTAGTTGTTTTGAAGTCTGTATTTAGTTGGTGTAGATGATGAATCAATGAGTTAGTTACAGTTGACTTGCTTCCGTGCTATCTTAGGCTAGGAATGAAGTGTTTAGACCCATATTTACAATATAATTCTAAGTTTGCATGTAATGTTTGTGTTGTTTCAGCCAACAGACCCGGTAGCATCCTGTTTGTGCACTGAGACCATATGCTTAATTGCCAAAAGATTAATGGGCACAAATTCCCCTCCCAAAGCAGCAGCATCTCTTCACTAATTCCTGAGGACACAAATGAGCATTCAAATGGTTGTTTTTCATCTTCCGGATGCTAGCAAGTTAATGTCTGAACTAAATCTAAACATGTTGTAAAGAAAGGTGGATGGTTCATCAATACATGGAGTTTTGTTCTAGTTTTCTTATTCCTGCTCTCTCTCCCCCACCCCCCCCCGGTGCATCTGGAAGACCATCACGTAAACCTTTGTGAATCACACTGTTGAGCCAATGGATTAGATCCCTTCTATATTATAATATAATAATAATCCTGGCATTTGATATAGGACCTTATCCCATCGTTGAGACATCTCAAAGTGCTTCACAGAATATATTGTAAAGTGAATTGACTGTACTTTGTGGGTGAAATGTGGCAGCCAATTGTCACACAAACAATCGTGGATTGAGTGGACCAAATTATTACTTTTTTTTGACAGATTATAACCCTCGGAAACTGATCCGCCAATTGACTAACAACCAGGTTCCTACTTACTGCTAGTAAACACAAGCGTGTGGAGTAAAGAAACTTCCCTAAGGTTTTGCTCCGCCCGGGAATTGAACCCAGGTCCTCAAGTGCGCGGGACTTTTAGAAGGGAACGATGTAGGGGCCACTTAGCATGTTCTCCCATCCCAAGAGTGTTGTGGGTTAACACTTACTCCCAAGTAGCCAGATTTAATTTTTAAACATAATTAATGTATTTATTTTGTTAGTCGTTCAATGTTAAAGTGATTATACTGAAGCTGCAAGCGATGCGGATTTGCTCTGTTTACACTGCAATATTGAATCCACTGCAACCGCAGTAACATGGAAGTAGTGTGTCAATATATAATTTTCTGCCTATGGACAGTTGCTGTTGTGTGAGGGAAATGTGGAAGGGCCAGCTGTGAGGAAAACTGGCCTGAGCCAGGTTGTGAGGCACTGCTGCCTCCAGAGGTGGAGAGGAAGCCTACCTCTGGATATATAGTAATTGGTACCTCTGAAGGATAATAACACTATCTGATCCACATTGAAACATTGATGGCATCATTTACAAATTGTAAGCCATCATGTAAGTGTATAATTTTCCTAGTTGTTATGATTAAAAGCCACAGGAATGTCAAAAATCCACTTTTAGACAAATCTTTTAGACTGTTGGAAGTTTAGACTGTTGCAAATGACTCCTGGCTTTGTCGCTCGTTCCTCATTGTATTGCATCTATACCATGTCAACTTCCAGAGAGAGAGATTCGTGTGTTCAGTGTGTGTACACACCAAATAAATTGTGTTTTCACAATTGTACTTCGGTGAAGACCTTATTCATTTTCCAGTGTTTGTAGTGCAGAATTTCAGGAGTGTGATATTGATAAATAAATAGAAATGTCAACCACCACTGGCCCTAGAGATCAAGCGTTGAGCTCTTGTTATGTAAAAGTAGCTAGAGGGAGTGTGTATATGTTAAATCGCTAGCATTATAGTTCCGAGTAACTTTGGAAGTGAGTTTGAAGGATGTCGCATTTTGGTGGTGTTATATTTGAGCAGAAAAAAATGTGCTTGTGCAAGTGGAGTACAAAAAGCTTTTCTATGGAAGCAGACTGCAACAATTGACCATTAAATGGACCATTTGTATCAGGCTTACATGGTCCTGTTATCAGTCAATATACGACCAGCCTCTATAAACTCCATAAAAAACACAGCACAGGAGAAAGAAGGATTATGCTTTATCCTTGGAAGAAGTTTTAAGTATAAAATTAAAGCTCGTTTTGCATATTGAAGAGGCACTGTGGTTGACAATTACCTTTTATTTGAAGGCAATCCTAGTATATTTCAAAACAAGTTGTATGCATGTTTTTAAACGAACAAATTTGAAGCTTGCTGGAGATTTCTTAATGGTGGAGTAAATTCTCCTTTTTCATTCTGAATAAGAAACAACGTTATTTGGCTGATGTACACAATCTATCTTAAAATGCCAGATTTGCAGAACTTAACACCCTGGGTGGGCACAACCTTATCAACACCATGCGCTGTCCACAGTATTGATGATGGGTATTTAGAGACTCATAATACAGACCAGATGGGTTGTAATACGGCATTTGAACTATTCTGTGCTTCTAACATGCAAGCAGCAATTACCTACAAATCAATGGCAGATTTACATTGGTGACGAGAAATTTCTGGTCTTTCTTAACCTTTTTTCTATGTTGGTTTTCACAAAAGCTCTGAAATAGCCACAATGGATCTGAATAGAATGTTGAAATGAAAGCGTAGAAACTTTTCTTTCATTGCACACACTTTGAATAATGCTTTCAATGTGGTTGTCTTTTACAGATTATTATATATGGAGACTTACCAAAGAAGAAAGAAAATATAATTTACTTATCTAACCATCAGTGTACAGGTGAGTAGTTTTGTCTTCAGTCGCAAGTTTTTTTTAAAAATCCCTGCTTTTGTCATTAGAATGATTTATTTACTGTGCTAGATGTGAGTTATGGGGTGAGCAGTATATAAGTAATCAAGTGACTAGTTTAATCACTCTCAAAGGATATTCTCGATATGTTTCCCAGACGATAGAATGTGGTTTGCTTTTGATCATTGCTCGCCCATCATTTCTCTCTCTCTCTCTCTCTCCCCCCACTCTCTGCCCACTCCAATCTTTCTCTCTCGCTCCTGTTTTCTCCCCCATACCTTTTTCATTTTACTCCTTTCTACCAGCGCCTCGCTGACGTCACTGTTATTCATGTTGACTGAGCATGGCAGACTATTTGACTGGATGGTATGGCATCCAAATCCAGTCATATCCTCCCTTGCCAGACGTCACACAATCGCAGCTTGTAATGGAGATCAATGGACAGCGATCAAAAATTAGAATCCCTGCTGATTCTCTTTAACCCAGGGTGTTGAGGTTAGTTGTGTTGCCCAGCTGCTGCCTTGGCTGAGACGGCTACCTAAATATAGACCAATAATTTGAACCTCTAACCTTTATCGTACAGTGCTCACCTTAATCTATTAGGCCCATTCAGGAGATTCACTCGAACCCATATTAAAGTTTTTATGGTGACTGTCCTGCTAGAAAACAATAGACGTGTGCAGAATTCGTCATGTGAGCTCTGTTTGCAATGCAGCAACAGTAGAGCTAAGGCCATAAGAGCACCATGATTAAAAATTCAGTAGTAAATGTTGAAGTCGGAAGGATGTGTTCCGGACTCTTGTTGCTATAGAATTTATCTCACTTATAAAGCAAAAACGAGAGAGGGAAAAATGATAATTCAGATCATAAAACAGTTTCCTACAAATGCATTGCCCTTAGATGCCTGACATAAGATGCCATCGATTCAGCAGCTTGTGGCTGCAGCTTTTATTATTTTCGTAAACGTTCATTACAAACCTGAGACCCAGTGAATTATCCAATATGAGCTCTGGCATTCTCACGGTAACACTGCAGTCATGATGAACGTTGTGTACTTTCCCTTAACTTTCTTTCATAAAAAATGCTAGTCGTTCATCTTCAAAATACAATCACTACATTAAACCATGTTAGATGCTTTGAGACATTTTGACAACACAATAAGGTGTAGTATCAAATGCAAGGATTATTCTGTCGTGTTGTATGTAACATTCCTATGTCAGTTAGATTCTGGCAGGTGTAACGGATATTTGCAGGAGTAGGAAACAGTGCGGGTGGTGAGAGGAGCAAGGGTGTTGAGGGCAGCAGAGAGGGAGATGTAGGGGAGAGTGACTAAGGAGGTTAGGTCTTTGTAGGAGGAGACCCAGAGGGGCAGGAGTTCAGATGACTATAAGTGAGAGTGGAGGGCAACTATTTTCCAGAGGCGGTAGGAGATAGGGATGGGTTGAGTGGCAGGGCGTGGGATGGAAGTGTTAAGAAAGCAACAAAATAATGGTCCAAGGTGGCTTTATCGGTGATGGTGATCCCCCGGGTAAACACCAGGTCATAGGGGTGACCGTAGACCTGAGTGGCAGAGTTGACATGGAGGGAGAGGTTGTGGGAGGAAAGGAGGGAGGAGAAGTTGGCAGTGGTGTGGAGCAAGAACGGATGAAGTGGAGGTTGAAGTCGCCCAAGATGTGGAGGCGTACAAATATCAACTCGGAAAGTGAAACTGGGATTTAGATGAAAATCCTTATGAGGTTATAAGAGTGTTGTTCTGTGTGGAATGTGTTCTGAAACCATTAAGGCTTATTCAAAGGGAAAGAAATCGATCGGTGGGGTAAAGTCTGCGTGGGGGGTGGGTTGGATGGAGACAGATTGAGAGGTCGGCTGGGAAAGTAAATGGTGTCCACAATCCTGATGACTGATCCTCATTGGCCGTGTTGACGGAATGAAGTACCCTTAAGAACGGGCCCACGAGATTACATTTGACCTTTTTATAAATTTGCTAAACATCTGATTGCTTTCTTCTTCCAAATTCCAGGCTCACAGGGCAAACCAAAATAAAGCAATGCCACCCATAAGTCTTTTATAAAGTTAGATAGTTTGACAGTGGAAGAAAAATGGAGTTCAAATAATTTATTTTCTGCTCTAATAAATGTTATAAACCCATTCCCACTGAAGTTGAGCATTTGTCATTTAGCATTAATAGTGTCTGAAAGTATCAAGGGAAATGTATGCTTTCTATTTTGCTGCCATTCACTGTGACAGATACTGAATAGCAAGCATTAGCTTTGAAAAATGATTTGTGAATAAGTAAAAACTTTTGAAAGATTTGCTCATGGTAAATTTTTTGGGCTGGTATGCTCATAAATGTATTATTTATATTTAAAATTCAGAATTCCTAGGAGACTCCATAAATGGTATTGCTTGCAGAGTCTGTCATTGATTAGTAGTTTGCAGAGTATGGATTGCATTATCTGTCTGGGAACCTATTCCCCAGGCACCTGGATATACTGCAAGATTATCTTTTTGATTGAGCGAGTCGATCTGATTCTTTGAAATAGTCCATCAATTCTGCTTTGAATTCAATGCTGTGTATATTTACTGTAGTGTGTAACAGAGAAAATTATACGTTAATGTATTAGTATCACTTAAGGACAGTATATTTTGTTTGTTTCTCCACAGTTGACTGGATCATCGCGGACATGTTGGCAGTCCGACAAAATGCACTGGGCCATGTACGCTACGTCCTGAAGGATGGGTTGAAATGGCTTCCCATATATGGATATTATTTTGCTGAGGCACGGTACTTTGTATTAAAATTGGTAGGAGGGTGGGAGGGAATCGGGGAAAGATCTGGAGAGAGGAGAAGGATTAATACCTTGGATGATTTTTAAAAAAAGAAACAGGAAGCAGTGACACAGACATGAATGGCCTCTATGAGCTCAAACATTCTATGTTTAAAAAAAATGCAACTTTGTAATTCACAATTGAAACCGTCTTGATTTAATTGTGCTGTTCTTGATTATCTGGATTCAGACAGCGTAGTTTTCTGACACCCAAACACGTTTTAGGTAATGTCTTTGCCAGTAGACAGCAGATCGTTAATCTTGAATTGCTGTACTATTGAAAGTGATATCAGATTGCTCTAATGGTATAGATGGCCATTTATATACAGCAAGACTTGAAGTTGATTTATCTACTCGCTGAACACGTTCTTTCAGTAGCTTATTATGCATTTTGTTCTGGACAGGTTAATCTACATTGCTAAAGCCAACTGCATGAAAGTAGCACTGAAAGTTGCCAGTGTCCTTTTGAAACGCATTATTAATTTAAGTTACAATGTACAATAAAGTAACACTTTCTATAGCATTTGATTCTAAACATCAAGGATTGGAGTACAGTAAACTCAGCTGACACGATTCCAGATATCCAGAATCCGAACTAGACCGAAACCTAAAAATTACAATTTCCACAGGCTCGCGTGTAGACTGCCGATTCCTGACATCAAAGCGCATCAAAGCTGACTGAGCGGCCTCGCTGGCTTTCACAGCGGCCAGAGATATTGACCTTGAATCAGATTGTTTCAATCCCACAAACAGAAAATGGCTTATTTGCTATCTTCTGCTTGTGTGATTCAAACAACTATAATGCCAATATTTAACAGCATTGTAATTACACTTGGCCAGAAATTCTGGCTCCCTGGACCAGATCTATTATGATTCTGGCGAGCCAGAGTTTAAGTGCACTCGCTTTTTCTGAACTGTCAACTTGTTTTGGTCGAAGGTAGAACCAGACCAATGCAACTGCAGAAATCCTGGATTGTTCAGCATCAGGAAAAGTGTATGTTGGGTCTAGTATTTTATCTGGAATTTACGTTGATTGACTGTTTGTTGCTGCCATCCATGTTCAGAGTAAAAGAGCTTCTCTCAACTGTGCACACGGTCAGGTTTCAGTTGTATAAAATCAATACAGACCCTCAGTGAGGTACTTCGGAAATTACAAGTGATTTCAATGTTTTTAGTTAGTGTTGAAAAATGATCCACTTCAGGACATTTTGGGCCTCTTGTTCAGAAGTAATGAAATTCTAAATGGCAAGTTTGATATTCAAACTTATTTGTTGCTCTGCCGAATAATAATATCCTGAGAGAGGTTAATCCCTTGATTTACGAAGGGCTTTTAAAAATGTTGTTCTCCCCTCTTTAGGTTACCACGCACCATTTCTTGGCGCTTTGCGAGGTTTGTGAGAGTGGCACAGGGTAACTTCTTCCAATTGCCAATATCCTGCCCGCCTCACTGGGGAGGTGCCTTGTGGCAACCTTGTGGGAGTCTCAGACGTGAATCTATGCTCTATAATTCTGCAGCACAACACCGACTGAGGTCTAATCTATCTGATGGCTTGTCTCTGTCATGGTGTGTATCAGCCACCTTCAATGCTTTTATCAGGGATTTTTAAAAAAAGTTTATCCTACAGTTTATCTAGGTAATCTTCTATTTAAATCTCTTAACTGTTCGCTTGTTGTTTAATTCCTAGTTTTATTGGTAGTTTGTAATCCTTGTCCAGTTGACATTGCCTTTTGTGATGTACTGGCATTGGTTTCCGCTCTGGAACTGTTCCTTTGTGGTAACTGCCGCTCTGTGTATGAGTGCCATTAACCAGTGTATTGTAACATTTTCGGTTTCTCCATGTGTAGTATCTTATTTTCTCCTAATTGTAGTGTTTTACCATTATAATGTTTATCTGCAGTCTGGTAAATTAAGTAGATGTAGGCACTGCCTGTTTCGACTTGTAAACAAAATTCCTAGTCTTGTAGCAGATGTGTGCACAGGAATAATCTGTTTAGATTTGTAAACTAGATTTGTCTTGTTAGGTAATTTTGCATATAGGAGTTATCTGAATTTAGATTTGTGAGAAGATCTTGCACGACTGTGTTTGTACAGTTTGATACAGGGCAACCCTGTTATAATGCAAGGGTTTTAAGTCGATAAAATTAGACCCCACAGTATAATGGATTTAAAGAAAAGCCATCAGTCCATCTTCCAGGTTGTCAGATTAAGGCTTCCAGCATGGACTTTCTGTACGTTGTGCAGGAACAATCATCTGCGACCACTCTTGCAAGTGTTTCTAGTACTTGAAACGCCTGAACAGATTGATTGGCTCTCTGTATGGTGCCTGCACATGTAGGGAGCCAGCCAATCATGCCAGAAACCGGTTGTGTATTGCACTTCCAAAAAACGTGGGTCTAAGCGAACTTGCACTCCTGTATAATGTTTTGCCTAATTCTGTAGATGTTTCATTGATCACAGAGGAAGTCAAAGGTATCAAAAGGAAAGAAGAGTTAATGGAGTTTATAGTTGCCATTCAGTTTGGTGACTACTTTTCCTTGAGAATGGAATATCTGTTTTCATGGATTTTTTATTTTAAGAACAGTAGTAGGTTATTTGGCACATTGAATCTATTTATTAGGGAATGGCACCTCATTTAATTCATTTCCATGTATTTTCTTCACATCCCTTCTTATTCTTGCTTCCCAAATACCTATCCATCTTCCTCTGAAATATCTTTAGGAAACTGATGCATGCAGGGTGGCATCTCATAGAGCTTAACAGTGGTGGAGCTTGAAGCCGAGCCAGGGAGAGAGGTGAAGTGACCTTGGGCACAGTCAAAGCGGAAGGTGTTTAGATGCAATCTGAAGATGGGCAACGCGGGGGCAAGATGGAGGGCTTGAGGTAGAGGGTTCCAGGATCTTTGGGCGAAGAGGCTGAAAGCATAGCCAACACTAGATGAGTGATGAGGGACGTGTAGAGGGTTGGAGCTGAGAAAAGGTAATGGAATGGGGTGTATGCAGGTCAAAGGAGGTAGGGGGTGCTAGGGTATGAATTGATTTATGAGGAAGTGCGAGGAACTTGAAATCAATTCATTCTGCAATAGAGACCTAGTCAGTTGTGTTGAACTGATGTGAGATATGTTTCAATTCTAAGGATTTTTTCCTTTTGGGGTATTAAAATTTTGTTCTGTTTGATGTATTTCTAAGTATAAATTTGATTGAGGAATAGAATCCCAAAATGCATTGTAGCCTTGCTGCCCAAACTATCTTGAAGTATTTTGGGCAGCAGTATTGTCAGTATAAACCTAGCAGGTGTGAATGTATGGCTTGTGATCAACTCTTTAATAACATTAAGGAATAAAGGCCTGATATTGGAGCAGACATCTGCTTAATTCTGGCCAATGTAATTTACTTCAGAACTAAAATTGCACAACCCTATACTGTTCTGTTGAAAGTGAAACCGGGGGTATATATTGGTCAGTCTCTGGGTTTCTATATACCATTGAAAGCAGCCTCCTGTTCGATTGTATCTCACTTGCTTAGTGTGTTATGTTGGAGGAAGTTTTAACTTTTCTATTTTCATGGTCTTTAAATATTTACCAAGAGTTTTGTTTGAAAAGGGAAATTGAACAAAGATTTACCAAGAAAAGCAAAGCCAATTCAAGCAAACCCTGACAAAGATGAGCCATCAATAGGCTGACTGTTTGACACTCAGCAATATGATGCAAAGAACACAGCATATGTTATTTTAAACCTTATCGCATATAAACAGATCTGCAGAAGCTGTCTAAAATGTCCTGAAGTAATTACATTTCAGCAAACTAAAGACAGAATGCTGGAATTCTATATACAGTATATGTAATTTGTTCAGCATAAACTGCTCTACAATTCATGTATATGAAACACAAAATTATTTCTAAAGTCACATAAATTTAGAAAACATTCTACTTCACAAAATGCAAGTTTAACCAAAGATAAATAACAATTAAAATAATTTGCAGATTTACTAAAGATGATTACAAGCAGCTCTTAGTACTTCTCCCCCCCACCCCACCCGCTGTTTACCCTATACATCTTCATTACAACCATCCCAGGACAAAATGGTTATTTTAGGAATCAAAATACAAATCACCTTTCCCGTGGACCTCCAGATTGGCAGAACACAAAAGCGATCCCAGGATTGTGGTGCGTCTGTTTGCGGACGATATTATGCTGCTGCCAGGCTCACCTGGGAACCTTTTGCACTGCACCTGCCATCTTGAACAGTGGGCCCCATTGGTGGGACATAATGGTGGGTGTCCCAAGATACAAGGAGCAGGAATCCCAAAGCCCTAACAGGTAGAGTGGCCCCAGCTGGATAATCAGCGGGAAAGCTTGCCAAACAGTGCTATCAATGGCAAGCTATGTGATCGAAGTGAAAGCCGGTATACAAATGTAGTTTTGTTGTTGTTAGCTGGTTAGACTCCAGTAGTTACCCCAACGCATACTCTGGGGACCTCAAGCCTTGGCTCTTCCCCACCTGCGCCTAATACTTTCCGGAATTAGCAAGAAGAGAGTGCTCATTCCAACAATTTATCTCTGGATTTCCATGTGTTCGTGGGATGTATGGAAATCTTAGCTTGGTTTGGATACTCGTAAGCTTGGTTTACACATGTGCCAGATACTCGACTGTCCAAAAAAATGTTCCTGGAACAATATGAAGATTTGGCCATATCACAGAGAAAGAGTTAATATTGCTGAGATGGTGTTCCAGAGAACGGGGGCAGAATAATTGAAAGCTTGCCTGTTGATGGTGGGGCGGGTAGAGTGCGGAGACATGAAGCAGGTCAGTGCTCAATGAGCGAAGGGAGCATCTGGTTCAGTAGGGTTTGGGAGGTCGCAGAGGTAGGGCGAAGTGAGGCCACGGGGAGATTTGAAAGAGAACGTTGGAAGGATCCATGGCAAAAATGCAAAATTATTTAAGACAAAACATTTGATTTGTATCGTCTCTATAGACATACTTGGTGTAACCATTTATCAAATGACAAATCCTCAGAATGTAGGAGCTGAAGGAACTTAATGCATGACATATCTCCTACTTATGGAATTTGTAAGAATTGAAACAATGTTTAATTGTTTAGATATCTGACAAGTAAAGGTACTTAAGGTGAATAATTTAGTATTAATTCCTATACCGTATAGGGTTGTGGAACATCAAAGATAGAACATTATTGACAGGTTGTGTCACACTTTCCAATCTTGACAGACATGTATTTATGAATAGCAAAGGCTATTGCTTTTATTCAGATCTGGTCACAGAGTTCCACACAATCGTAGGCAGTCCTTACTGTACGAATGCTGTGGAAAGCATCAACAGGGTAATGTGCAGCTGTAGTTGCACTGTTCATGTAAAAGTTTTGAACGTTACCCACTTCACTTCCTGTGTTCAAACTTCATATTTGCTGTAGGATCACAGGAATGTACAGGACCGGAAAAGACAATTATGAAGGAAAACAACATTGAAAAACAATAAATAATCCTATCCTATCTCTCAAACCTCCCAATTGAATTCATCACCAAATACTGCAGCGCTCTCACGCCATGCTCTCAAGCAACTTTGACGACGTGTTTTAAAATTACAAATGTGTGGGATTTGAGGTTAAGGGTGATGATTAATCATTTAATGTTTATTAGTAATGCTCAGGACTTTATATTATGAAGGCGAACTCAAAATCTAAAGTGTTTCAAATGTAAGGTAACCGTCGTAATTGTTGCATTTGAACTGTGTGTAACTGTTTGTTAGGCTGTATAGGAAGATGGGAATGTACAGAACTGGAAAGACCAATGCAATCCATCTCGTCTATTCTAATGAATTAAAAAAACTACACTACCACCTTTCTTACCTTCAGAATCCCCCACTCCCCCTGCACCAAACTATTGATTTCTTTGTCAAATAGCTGTACAAATCTCTCCTGAATTTGCCAATCCAATCTGCTTCCAACATTTCCCTGGATAATCACTTTCACTGTGGAGTCCTGTAGCTCAGTGGTTAGAGCACTCGCTTTGCAAGCGAGAGACCTGGGGTCGATTCCCGGCAGGACAAAACCTTGGGCAAAACCTTACTCCACACGCCTGATAATCCCTCAAAAAAAATTGGTCACTACAATCCACAACTGTTTGTGGGACACTGCTGTGCGCAATTGGCTGCCGCATTTCGCCCACAAATATAAAGTTAATTCACTTTACAGTCTATTCTGTGAAGCGCTTTGAGGCGTCTGGAAGACGTGAAAGCACTATATCAAATGCAAGGATTATTATTGTTATTCCACATACTGTATTCAAAACTTTCTGTAAAGTAACAATTAAAACTTCCCTTCCCTCATCTGAGCTTGAATCTAGAGCTCTATTTGTAGCACTTTAACTGTGTTATACATTGGGGTTAATTTTATCTGTAAGTTTTAGAATCTTGGAATTCATCAATAAGATTTCTCCTGAGGCTAATGTTCTCCAGTATGAATATTTACATAGTGTCGCCTCTCCTTGTAACTACTTAAATCACCATACATTTTACGAAGTGGGATTATATATTGCTGACGTAGAGAGAATTGATAACGTTTAACCTTGGAACTTAAAGTGGTAATTACCACCATCAATTATTTGTGTTGTCAGCTGCATATCGTTGTTACAATGTTTTTATTATGGGACGTTTGAATGAAATTCATAATGCTTATCGTTTACATTTTAGCATGGAGGAATATATGTCAAGCGAAGTGCCAAATTCAACGAAGAGATGATGGCTCATAAACTGCAAGCACAATTAGAAGTGGGCACCCCAGTAAGTAATAAAATAATCTTTCCATTTTATGATGCCACACTTAAAATGCTTAAAATGATCTAACTACATAGACGCGGTCAAAAGGAAACTATTTTTCTTCAGGTAGCTGCTACTATTTAGGTTCCCTACTGCCTGCACAATTTCAGGAACTCCCAAGGAGCCCTCCACCAACATCATTCTCAAACCAGTTTTGGTGGTGGCGTGAGAAAGGAGGGACCAGGCTCAATGCTCTTTGACCGTGCCTTCAGCTCCCCTCTCGACTCTACCCCCTCCTCGCTCCCTCCCTTCCCTCCCCTCACCCTGACCATTTCCCCCCTGCTCGGGTCCTGACCCAACTGTACAGCGCCTTGGGACCTCCTCCCGACCTGAAAGGCGCTCTATAAATGGAATCTTGTTGTTGTTGTTGTATAGTTTTCTGTCATTCTCAGCCAGTCTCTCACCCTTGGCCATACAACTCAGCTGCTGTTGGGAACGCTCTGTGTGGCAGGTAGTGAGGCTGAGCTTGCATCCCTGCACACAAGACCTTTCAACAACATGATGAGACTTTTCTGGGTGCACAGAAAAAATAGTAAGCAATTGTGCTGGTAGTTTGTCTAAAGTTTGCTCCAACAATTGATTCAACAGTAGTTACTGTTGCTAGATTTTCGAAGCTTCGTGCAGCTTGTTTAATCAGTTACGCGAAACTGAATTTATTGAAAGGAAACTGAATTTATAAAGGATATCTAGGATCATTGCTGGTTTAAAATTTCATAGAGCGTTCGAAAAACACTCTTAAAGTGCAAAAACTAAACCGTTAAATGACTCCCATGTGTAACTATTTTTTAAGAATATATACTTTGGAGTTAGATGAAGTTTTCTTTGCACTCTTTCCCTTGGAGGATACCAATGCAGGCACCTCCTCTATGATATTAATCCTTACTGAGGAATTCAGATGGTGTCATCATCACTGCAAAATCACTTCAGTCTAATCTAGAGAGATCACTGATAAATGTGCAGAGTGCATCATTTTAAAAGTAGTATGTAGATGCACAGAGGGAATATGACTGACTCCCAATAATTACTCCACTAGAGCGACTTTTAGCAAAGACTCGATTGTAGTCATCAGTAAAACAGAAGACTTTTTTCTATGAAATAGTTGTTTAAAAAGCTTTATTTATAAACTGGACACAATTTGTGTGGAACAGAAGGTCTCTTGATAATAGCCTATTTGCAGTATCACAGTTGCTGCCAGATGACTTTTTCCCATGACTCTCTTGAACGATGGAATTACAGTAGTATTTCTTCTTTGAATTGCTTTGATAGATCTTAGGTTTTTGTCTTCTGTGCGGAGCATTTTCAATCCATGAGGCAATATTGAGATTTCCCAGCTCCTTCAATTCTTTGAAGTTATTGTTGTATCTGAAAAATTATTGGAGATCCAAATTAAAATATTTGTGCTATTTTATTCTCAATTTTTTTAATACTCTTGAACTAATTCAGTTATTTAGCAGTGATGTTTATCCCCTTCACTTTCTGTATTTATCTGAAAGAGCAATGGTTAAAACTGTTGCTTTGTGCTGTTGGAATTATGATTTTGTTGCAAGTTGCTGATATCAAAACTGTCAACCTCTCTATTTTCCCAAGAGAACACACCTAAGAAGAAGCAGACCTCCCCAAATAGGAACATAGAAATGCTAGACGAAAAAAGACCAAAGTTCATGCAGGTCACTTCCACCATCCTGGCAGTGGCATGGATATTTCATATCCTGATCTACTCATACACTTATCCCAGAATATTATTTCCTAAAAGAAATCTATGTAATTTGCGTTTGAAAGAAACCGTCTCCTTGGAGAGTCTGTTCCATTAGATATCCAAATTGGTATAGAGGGCTCTGCTTATAGAAAGGTTGTAGCTGATCAACAAACTTTTCTTTCCTCTTTCACTGAGGTACCCCATACAGTAGCGTAAAACACCGTAAATCTGGGACTTAAACTTTCAGCTTTGAAAATTTAATGTTCAACCCCTAAATGCATGTGCTATGTTATATTTTCAGTAAAACCAACCAGAAAATAATTAATTTAACAGTGATTCCATTTTCATGTATAGGTAAAATGGTAATTAAGCAAGAACGACTGCTTCATAATCTTGACAGCCTAATGGTTATTTTACAGTGGGCTGTCATTAAATTGTCATCAATTTGCTTTGTCTCCTTCAGATGTATCTTGTGATTTTCCCAGAAGGAACCCGTTACAACCCAGATTCTCCGGAAACGATCGCAGCAAGTCAGGAATACGCTCACAAAGAAGGTGAGATTGCAGAATTTCTTTGAGAGCGTGTTTCCATTGGTTGCTTGGAGCTTATCCTCCCCCACCCCCAAGCACTACATTGGACGATCATCTTAGATTTACATGGCGTTCTATAGCTCAGTGGTTAGAGCACTCGTCTCGCAAGCGAGAGACCTGGGTTCGATTCCCAGCAGGGCGAAACCTTGGGCAAGTTTCCTTACTCTAATACGCCTAATAATAATCCCTCAAGAAAAAAAACCAATAATAATTTAGTCACTCAATCCACGATTGTTTGTGGGACACTGCTGTGTGTAAATGACTGCCTCGTTTCGCCCACAAATATACAGTCAATTCACTTTACAATATATTCTGTGAAGCGCTTTGAGATGTCTAGAAGACGTGAAAAGCTCTTTATCAAATGCAAGGACTATTATTATTATTTACATGTCTCACAGCCTTCTGACGAGGCGTGTGGAGTAAGGAAATTTGCTGAACCTTTTGCCCTACCAGGAATCAAACTCGGGTTTCTCACTTGTGAGGCAAGTGCTCTAACCACTGAGCTACAGGACTCCACGTATTAATAATAATAATCCTTGCATTTGATATAGCGCCTTATCACATTGTTCAGACGTTTCAAAGCGCTTCACAGGATACACTGTAAAGCGTAGTGACTGTATTATGTGGGTGAAATATGGCAGCCAATTGAGCACACAGATAATAATAATAATCCTTGCATCTGATATAGCGCTTTTCACGTCTTCTAGACATCTCAAAGCGCTTCACAGAATGTACTGTAAAGTGAATTTGACTGTATATTTGTGGGCGAAATCCGGCAACCAAATTGCTCACAGCAGTGTCCTACAAACAGTCGTGGATTGAGTGACCAAATCGTGTTTTTTTTTGCTCTCTGAGAGATTCTATGTCGACACGATTACTAGTTCCAGCTTCGCTGTCTCACTCCATGAAGCCACAAGGATGACTGATGTAGGAACTGTAAGTGTAGAAAGGCTGAAGACAGCACACGTGGTTTAGGGAGAGTTAGCTTGAGGGAGAGTAAGGTTGAGGGATACGGGGAAACATCCAGAATACGGACTAGGGATAAGCATCGAGGATGGACACTCATGTGGAGTATAAACACCGGCCGGACTGGCTGGGCTGAATGGTCTGTTTCTGAGCTATACCTTCTATGAATCTATAAATCGATGAAATGGAAATGCCATCCTGGTGCTGTAGAGAGCTTTCTTGACAACAGAAACAACAACATTACTGTTATTAGGAGAAGCAAACAGTGACTGCTGCCAATAACTGGATGTGCACATGCACCGACCCACAAGAACCAAGGAGATCTATTTTGAGTGTGTTGTGGCAGAGATACAGTTGCAGATACTGAGTTTTCACCCCCAATTTCCACAGAACTATTGCTTGTCATTCAGAGTTAGCGCAGTGCACAGCTGCAGACTGTACAACAGTTTTATGTGCGAAAATTAACTGTTTTGTTGACTGCAATTGTTCTACTGTGACCAGGTGACAATCAGAAGTGCAACATCCTCTGGTTTCATTTTACCATAATTACTACTTTCTGTGTTGACTGAAGGAAGGCAGCAATGCTATTTTTTGCTTGAGACTCAGAATTTTAGCAGAACATTTGTAAAGCGCTGGTGAGGCAATATTCTAATGATCACGAACAACAATATGAGTTCCCTTGTGTAATGGTTCGGTTGTTTGATTTTGTTTCCCATTTGTGCATAATTTAAGAAAAGTATAGGGTTCCAAGGATATATCCCAAAGTTTCACAAATTTAAAAAAAAAGTCCACTTTGTCTAGCATGAGAGAAATGCAAGTTGTTGATCCATTAATCTGCATGTTTGGGGATATCATTTTTTTTTAAACCACTCCATTTCATATCTAAATGTGTTGGATAATCTGAAAAACACGCACTCTGAATCTGAATTAAATCAACCAAATGCTTTTCAATGAATTCACTTTGCTGTTTGCTTATTACACTGAAATAGCTTCTCCCCAATGGCTCAGCTAGTTTATCCACTGAGTAGATTAGCCATCCAGGTTTCATGCCAAGTCTGAGCAATGTTAGTTGATATCAACTGAGTCAGAAGTAGAAGCACTGTAACTGACCTTAGCGATCCAGTTAGAGAGGGTAAAATGGGCCACCATACTCGTCTGTTTGGACCATATTTGGTACATGTTAATCTCGGATCATTTTTAGCCACAGAAACGTGGCAGAAGTTGATGGACAAATGTACTTGGTAGTGATCTCCATAACAAGTGCGCCTCTGGGCCAGCTAAATTATCATGTGCCATGAGTCAAAAAGAGGCTAGATAAATATCTGGTTCTGCAAGAGATTGAAGGTTATATGTTTACATTTGGCACTGCAGGAACTTTGTGGAACCACAGGAATGGTATATGGAATGGAATTGGTCAGGGCTCAACAATGTAGATGGTTGTCCTTGAACTTTTGCCTCATTACATTGTTGGTCGGGGGAGCGAGGGAGTTAAAAGACATTTCTCTCCCCTTGAGAGATTGCATTTGGTTATTCGATTCTTTTGGAAGATTTATTAAAAAGAAAAGATGGGAAGCAGTAAGCAAAAGATGGGAAGAATGCGTAGATATGTTCAAAGCATCTGGTTTGTTGGTCCCTCTCTCCTCATTTGACGTTTACTCTCCAGTTTCTACCATGTGTGAGATACCTATTTTTAGAGGTGTTATCAAACAGTTGACTGAATACCAGCATGAATAAATGAGTTTTTGATTGAGTACGGAAGGGCAAGTGAAGGAACCATATGGGGCGAGAACGTACCTTGAACATCTTCCTCTGTGAAGCATATTTTTATTCACAAATAACTACTTGTGTATCAGAAATCGATTACTTATTGATCCAAATATTTCTCTACATTTTTCTCATCTCATTAATCATCACCTTTAGAAAATCATCAAATAATTGTGCTTCATATCAAGTGAGGACCTTGTTTTTTATATCACCGCAAAGACATTTAGTGCTCACCTGCAGTAACTTTTTTTTGAATGCTTCTGCCAAAAAATCAACTATTTTGCAATATTTAATTATTTGTAGCATCATTAAACAAGGGTGACATTTACAATTTGAAACATTAATATTCCTTGTATTTTGACTTGACCAAAGGAAGTAGCTTTTGAGTTTTGATGTTATTGAAACTGCATTAATTGTAAGGTGCCCAACTAAAAGTCACTAAATGTGACAGAAATTACTGCAAGTGCTTTTAACACCTGGCAATGTTTTAGGTGCTATGAAAATACAAATTCATTCATTTGTGTAATCATTCTTCATATGTGAGCCCATGTAGGTTATTTGGCTGATGGACCAATGCAGCTATATCGGAACCTGTTACCATCCAATGTTCATCATTCAAAGTCCACATCTCCGAAAGGGGTCAGAGGATAGAGAGCAACAATTCTGCTTGCTTATTTTCCACTTCAGAAATCCTGAGGCCAATCGCAGCAACACTAATGGTGCCCTGGTTGAGATTAGGTAACTCAGCAAAGAGTGGAGATCTGAACTGAGTTGGTCTAGGCAGTTGGCATCAAGGGAGCCCCCTCCTTTAAATAAAGTATGGTCAGCATTTGCATGCAGAGCAATTAAACGTCTCTTGGAGTCCTGTAGCTCAGTGGTTAGAGCACTCGCTTTGCAAGCGAGAGACCTGAGTTCAATTCCAGGCAGAGGGCGAAACCTTGGGCAAGTTTCCTTACTCCACACACCGAAGAATAATCCCTCCAAAACCAAAAACAATAATAAATTGGTCATTTTCAATCTACGACTGTTTATGGGACATTGCTGTGCGCAATTGGCTGCCGCGTTCGCCCACAAATATACAGTCAATTCACTTTACAGTGTGTTCTGTGAAGCGCTTTGGGACGTCCTCCCAACGTGAAAAGCGCTATACCAAATGCAAGGATTATTATTATTATTGCACAATGTTGTGCTTAATATTCTGTTGTTCCTAGTATATTTCCTCGTGTGCTGGACACCTGCATGGATCTTTGTCTATAATGCAGTTTGTTTGTATGAAAATGCTGAATGTGTTTAAGGGTGAGGTATGTTGTTTGCAAGCATTAAAAATAATGTTTGTTCTATGTTTCCAGATTAGTTAAAATTAAAATTTTAAGACTATTCAGTACAAAAATACTTAAAATATAAACGGAGGATAATGGAGGCTTTTTGGAAGAGATGCAGCACTCCATACTGGTGTTTCAACCTAGTAGGATTATTTTTAAGGATCACTGGACTAAAGTGTTTGTGGAGGCGCATATATATTGTGAATATGAGACCGGATTTTCTGAAGATCTCTATTCCAAAGATTTGTTTTTGTTGTGAGAATTCAAAGGCTTTGTGGAATGTGGCATTCTGAAATATTTGGGTGAAAGGGCACTACACATCAGCTTCTTTCTGCTAAATTTTCGAGGTCTTGTAACAGTTTCTGCTGTCTATTACGAAAAGATTTTAAGCTATAAATTACCACGTACATCTAAACATGATACCTATGTCTAAACGTGAAACCTGAGTCAAGTGTATCCTAAAGTAGGTCTTTATTTTTGAGATTGAGGTGGAAGTTAAATCATTCATTATGTCCAAACTCATTGCAGTATTTTGACAATAATTGCATTTGGTCATTTGTCATAACCTGTTAAGTGCAAAGCCTATTGTACAGCTAAAAAACACTTTTGTTAAGGTAATGAGTTTGACATGAAGTGTGGTTACTTTTAGAAATGTAGAAGGGCAAAGTAAGAGAGGTCAATACATTTCGCACTTAACACAAACCTGTAATGTTCTGGGTATAAATGTAAATTGCAATGCAACCACACTTAACAGGTCATGCATTTCCTGCAAGCTTTTAGAAAAAATTGAGAAAACGTGAAGTTTTCTCTTGTTTTTAACTATGTAGCAAAGTGCTCAGGGGAGTAAATTTGGATTTGTCTCATTTTGGTAATTCATAAGTCATGACTCTAATATTGAGGATAAAAGTGCCAAATAGAAACGTAAGCTGGGAGATTCCAACTCATAATATCAATCTAAATTGAACTCTGCTTTAATGTTGAGCAGAAACAAGAGCTGAAGCACTGTTAGAAGAAGGTCATACTGCAGAGCAGGGACATCTGTGCAGCCTTGCTACATGCATTAACAATGGTTCGGTAATTCATTATTTTATCTACCATTACTTGCAGAGGGATCTGCGTGTGTTCAAAAAGGTACATTAGTTTTAAATTATTTCCAAAATTCCCATGATAAATATCCCTGAATAATGTAGTAAGTTTTCTTCACTTACCTTCCAATCTTAAATCTATTCCAATTTAATTTGGATTATGAGGTCATGTTCACAGCTAAAATGCAATTAAATGTTAATCAGAATTTAAAACCAGTGTAGATTATGACAGGTTTAATAAATGACACCTATTAAAATGTTCCATTTAACTGAAATACCATTTTATGAATGTAATTTTGTGAGTCAATTTTTTTAGTTACAAACTACTCTCCAATTCTTTTAATTTTGTGCTCGTCGAGTCGAGGTATGTCAGTACTGGAAAATGTAACATATTCCCGTTCTGTGTGCCTAGAGTCAGCATTGAGGGAATCCAAGTAAGGTAGAACAGAATTGTCATTGACTGCTGCCTCCGGTCAAGTTCAGCAGAATCTATATCGGGCACTCTTAAGTCAACTATCGCAGTATTGCCCGTTAAGCGTTTGAGGACAGTAAAATTGGTATCAAGTGCTCCCAGGTTAAGTTATATAATAATAAAAATAATCCTTGCATTTGATATAACGCCTTATCGTTCCTTTTTGAGGTGTCTCAAAGCTCTTCACAGGATATACTACAAAGTGAATTGACTGTATATTTTGTAGGTGAAAGTTAATTAAGAGTTCAGAGTAAGACTTCCACTGTATCCTAGCCTCGCAGTAGTTTTGTTCATTTCTTCTCTGTGTACACAACAAAAAATTTGTCATGCTAGCCTTTTGTGAAACATTTCAACATGATAAGGTGCTACATCAAATGCAAGCATGATTGTATTATGTTAGAACTTTTATATGTAGCCACAATGAATATTTATCCTGTGATTATCCCTGAATGCAGTAGGATATCCCCAAATTACAGTCCTGTTGTTGGTGGAGCAAAGCAGCATTCTGGTAGATTTAAAATTAGTCTTTTGTGATTGGTCAAACATGGCTTAATATTGTACCCACAATGTTCATATTCATACCCACTAAAAGGAGATTTTGTAGCTTAAAACTTGATAAGGAGATATCTGGTGGCTTTTGGCCAACGTTTATTACCCAACCATTCAGGAATTACCAACACTAAGATAGAGACCCAGGACTTGAAAACAGCTGTACGCTGGTAAATCTTTTTTCTGACTGCTGTAGAGTTTGTCCCGCAATATAAAATGGCATTTCCACGATAATGCAGAACCTCTTGAAATCAATGTGCTATATATACGGATATGGGGTAAACCTTCATCTCGCAGAGTCACCAGAATCATTTTTTTTATCTTTTATATGCTAACTGCATATGGTTTCAAGAAAAAGAAAAAAGAAAACTGGGAGGTTTAAGCTGTCGATAACAAATTACACTCGTATAACGCCCTTCGCGTCAAAAGACGTTCCAGGGATCTTAAAGTGGGAGTTATAATTGACCTTTGGTTCTCCATTGTGATCATATGGAAATGTTAGAAGACGTCCACAAAGAGTTAGTCGTCTTGCACATGTACTTCAGAATACACCTCAGTGCGTTATTGAATAGCACATTTAATGTGGAATCCTCTTTTGTAACAGTAATTATTTAATGATATTAAATTGTGTAAATACTGCATATTGTCCAGGTGGAATAATGAGTTTGGAATTCTCCTTTCACACGTGGAAGCTGAGTGTGAATCCATTACCAGAAGGGGATGAAAATTCGCTAATTTACTCCTCCTATCAATTATTGCATACTGTCTTTCAGGCCTCCCAATACTAAAGCATTCAATGACCCCACGCGTCAAAGCAACCCGGGTAGCCATCACCGCAATGAGGGAGCACCTGGATGCAGTGTATGATATCACTGTTGCGTATGGAAGAACTGTGAACAGTAAGGGAAACCGGATAACTGCTCCATCTATGCCTGGTAAGCATTTCTTACTCAACTGGAATATTTTGTTTTAACATGAGATGATATTTCAGCACGATATACTGTCCTGGAAAATTGTGAACATGGGCTCATACTCCCAGGGCTTGATACTTACCTTGATTAATATGCAGAGAGGCAAGCAGCTGCTGCAGAAACTCACACTTCCAACTCGTGGAATCATTGCTCAGTGGTAAGAGATGTGTGTCTGTACTGTGGGCAACAATTGCCCTTTGCAACTTTAACCCCATGTCCTTTTGTTCTATTGTTTTCGTGCATTTTAAAGTATTGTTCTTTAAAATATGGTTCGGGAGCATACTCTTTGGCTCCTGGCAACGTCTTCACTCTTGCGGATCTAAACTCCTCAACCTCCCTGGGCTCTCCCTCAGATTCACCGAAGCAAGATGCAATCTAGACGTCCAATTCGATCCCCAGCTGTTCTTCCTGCCCCGCATCTGGTCCCTGATCAGGACTGCCTTCCTCCACCTCCGCCACATTGCCATACCTTACCCCAATTGCAGCCGAAACCCTCATGCATGCATTTGTCACTCCCGCCTGAATTACTCAAACACACGCCTCGCCGGTCTCCCCAGCTCCACTATTCAAAAAATTCAGCTCATTCAGAATTCTGTTGCCCGGACACAAACTGCATACCCCACATCTCACCAGTTCTGGCCAGGCTGCACTGGCTCCCCATCACCAAACGGATTGACTTCAAGATCCTCACACTCGTGTTCAAATCCAAGAAACTTATCCAAACTAATTATGCTGGTGTGAATGAAATCGATTGGCACAATGTTTATTTTGTGTCAACTCGCTCAAATGGAATATCTGCTCAGTCTAGATTGTCTATGAAAAATTTCATTTCGATTTATGATGGATTTTTTCCACTTAAAATTTCTATTTTACATTTAATACTTTGATTTGTTCAATGTCAATTGTGAGCAATTGTTCTGAATTCAGATTGTTCACCACTTTCACAATGAATATTGTCTGAAACTGCAGCTTTGGGTGTATTTGTTATAGTTAACTGTTTGAGTAATTTAGAGTTAATTTGTTTGAGTCATTTAAAGTTACCTGCATTTAAAATGGTTTTCAAACATTTCTGCAAATGTTTTGGCAGCAATCATTTTGAAAGCTTTTTGAGAGGTATCTCTTTATTTAATTTCCCTCCTTTTACTTGATACATTCCAAAGGGCAGTGCAGAAGCATTAGACATGAAGATAAGAGCACATTAATTTATGTCCAGACTACTCAGTCTTTCTGATAAGCTTGACCTTGTTAGATAAGTTCCTGTTGGTGATGGATTTCTCTGCTCTATACTTTTTAGTAGGTTCAAGTTGTTCCATGTGGAGACCAAGCTGTGAACACAATTTTATAGTATCCTGTATGGGAGCAGAATATAAATGGTCAGGGTAAAGGTCATTTCATTTGATTTGATGTTTACTCACTGTAATAAGTAGATTTTAATGGCCTGGAGTGAGATTTGTTTGATCCTCCAATTGTACAACACTTGCTACCATTTTACCATTGTTTTCACGTCAAATTAATGCTGAAAGTGTAGTGTCGAAAACTTTCCCATTGGCACAGCAAATTTATGCATTGAGTAGCTCACATTTCAGGTTTGGTCTGTGCTCAGTTAGTTGGAGCAGCAGGATTACAGAAACGGTTCTCTAGTTTGGCAAATGGAAAATCAGCCAGGGTAGCCGCTCTTGATTGCTACTCAAATACCAAGGTCTCTGTGTAAATGTCAAGCAGCGCAGGAATGATCTCAGCTGCTTTCTGTAGTATGACTGGACTAAAGGTCCAGGGAATTGGAAGGTTCTATTTTTATAATAATAATAATAACCCTTGCATTTGATATTGCGTCTTATGTCATCGAGATGACTGAAAGCGCTTCACAGAATATACTGTAAAATGAATTGACTGCATATTTTGTGGGCGAACCGTGGCAGCCATTTGCGTACAGCAGTGTCCCACAAATCGGGCGTGGATTGAGTGACCAAATTATTATCATTTATTTATTTGTTGGAGGGACTATTATCCCAGAAAGTGATGTCCCAATCAACTAACAACTGGATTCCTACTTACTGCTCGGTAAACGGAAGTATGTGGAGTAAGGAAATTTGCCTAAGGTTTTGCCCTTGTTTGTGAGGTGAGTCCTCTAACCAATATTCTACAGGACTCCTTTTTACAGCAAGGATAATGTTCTTCCAGCAAAGAAGGGGTGTTGCATCAGGCTTGGAACTTATTTTAAACTAAGAGATCATGTACAGTACTTGTTTTGAGAGAAAAAAACTACCCAGCATCTTCAATTAGATACTGTATATTACTGAATGTGCAATGATCATCGGTTGAAGCACAGCTGGTTGAAGTTTGATGTTTTACATTCAAAGAGAAACCAAGAGCTCTTTCAGCGGGCCTGAGTTTCTACCAGGCTTAGAAACACAAGAACAACAAGAAGATTACATTTCACGCCGGGAGGACGTCCCAAGGCGCTGACATAATGGGTTAACAGAAAAGTTCTCGCAGGCCAACATTGTACAAATTGTTGCTAAATAATGCGATTGCATTATGTTACCAAAAAAAAGGAAGCTCGCAGAATGATTTCTTGTCCCTTTCCTTTTGTTGTCTGAGCTGACAGCAGGTTTTGTTAACGGCATTGACTGCTATCCATGTGCACGTTTGTTAAAGTACTTGACCCATAAACTCGCATTCTTTAAGGGCTGAATGTTGTATCTTGTTCAGAACTTTGTTCCTTTTGATTGTTGCTGAGGTATTTTTGAAGATTTCAATTCTATCTACTTCAAAATGGAATGCTTACAATACTGCTTTGTTAGCGGCAACTGACCCCTGCTTTGCATCTGCAAACTGAGGAATTTAAAGGGGAGGGAGAGGAGACGTGTCCGCACAAGGTCACTGCAACTATGTCCAGACTGGTCCATACAAGGTCACTGCAAGTATCACATCATCAAATATTCGTTCTGATCTGCTGGTCCACAGTTATTGAGTTAGAAGTTGTAAGTGACAAACGTCTGACTTGAGCGACACACATTTGAAACGCAAAGAAAGAGCTGCCATGCCCTGCTCTCCCTTAAACCGTTTAACAATGAGCCTCGTTTTACTATGCCCTTTCAACAATTAACCCTTGATTTGCTGAAAAATTAGGGACTCGAGTTTTGTTAAAATAATGCTCGTGCAAAATTTGCTGTGTGCAAGGGTGAAAAGAAATTACAAGTTTAAAACTTTGTGAAGGTTGCAATCTAAATAGTGTCATTTTTAAAAATCTAACCAGGCAAAGTCCCCAGATAAGAAGTAGATAATAATAATATTCCTTGCATTTGATATAGCACCTTATTACATTGTTGAGACATCTCAGTGCTTCACACGATATACTGTAAAGTGAATTAACAGTGTATTTTGTGGGCCATACATTGCAAGTATCCTTATGACATAGTTGAAAGTTCATTCCAAATGACTGAACCCACCAGGGTGGAATTTTCAACTGCTGCTTATGATATAGTACTGTTTCAAGGCCCTCTTTACTGGGAGATTTGATACTGTCCTATCCTGTATATTAACTTGCCTGTTTTGAAGCAGCTTGTAGTATTTTATTTCTGGCCCTGATAATCCCTCCAAAAAAACAAAACAATAATAAATTGGTCATTTTCAATCCATGACTGTTTGTGGGACACTGCTGGGCGCAATTGGCTGTCGCGTTTGCCCACAAATATACAGTCAATTCACTTTACAGTATATTCTGTGAAGCGCTTTGGGACATCTAGAAGACGTGAAAAGCGCGATATCAAATGCAAGGATTATTAAAAGCAATTGGAGCAGTTTGATGTGCCCACTACACCAATAATCATGAATAATTATCGAGGTACAGTTGTGTAAACCTATTTGAATCAAACCACCCAGAGTCAGTGGTTAAAGAAAGAACAACTGTATTCACACCCAATCTCTCCTCTTCTTAAGAGTAAAATCCTCTGAAGCACTTTGAGACATTTCAACGACCAACGGTGGTACACCAAATGCAAGGATAATTATTCTTTTATTTGACGTGTGAGTAATATTCCAAAATATCGATCAAAGTATGTCTGTTTCTTCTCACAATCAAAAAAACAAAAGGAAATGAAACTTAATTTTGGTTAATTATCAAAGAAAACCAGTCAAATCCATTTTGTGATGCATTTCTTAACAAATCTTATTGTTTGTACATTCCTGTATTTGTGTGACAATTCAATACACTCACTCCTGACATTTACAGATGTTTTTAAAATGTTACAGCATCGAACAATATCCTGAACTCCCAAGACCTGTGTGATTCTGAAAGGCACCATATAACCCATTGCTAAATGGTATTTAATGTATATCTAATGGCAAAATACTGCAGCTGCTGGAAATCTGAAATAAAAACAGAAGTCGCTGGGAATCAGCAGGTCAGGCAGCACCTATGGAGAGAGGAAAGTGAGTTAAAGTGTCAGGTTCTGACAAAAGGTCATCGGCGTGAAACATTAACTCACTTTCCTCTCTCCATAGGCGCTCCCTGACCTGCTGCATGTTCCCAGCAACTTCTGTTTCTATTTCATGTATACCTTCTGAACTTAATTTATTAAATAAATAGCAATCCTTGCATTCATTCGATCACGTCGCCGAGATGTCTCAAAGCGCTTTACAGATTTTAATGTGCAGTTGATTGACTGTGAATTTCGTGGGCAAAATTTGTTGTTTACCATCATTTAATAAATGTAAAAGTAGAAAACTATTAGTAAAATGACTGTTATACTCAAATTGTTTCTATCCCGTTATGACAAACCATATTTATAGTTCACTCGAAACATTTCAAAACTATTAAATAATTGCTTCTAATTTAGGATTAGATGTCGCTTTTCTATTTTAATTGCATGAATTGGCTTTGAGCAGGAGTCTTGGAACTAGATGGCAAGATCTAAATATTTTGTAGAAAAAAATGTTCTTAAGAAAAAAAACTCCTGCCT